TGAGCCAGTGTAAAAAGACAACCAAAGCTTTTAAAGGTTTTAAAGGTGGGCCGTCGTGGTGCTATAGATTCATGAAATAGAAGCCTGTCTGTTAGGGCACGCACGACGTTGTGTCAGCAGCTCCCTCCCAATTACGAGGACAAACTTGCTTCGATCCACACATTCACACAAAAATAGCGGAGAATTCCATCAGCCCAGATGAAATAATAAATATGGACGAAGACCCTCTGACATTTGATTTGCCTCTCACTCGGACTGTAAATAAAAAAGGTGACTTCCCCCGTCATACTGAAAACAAGCGGCCACGAGAGAACACATTTTACCTGTGTTTTGAGCCGCGCAGCATCGGGCCTAAAGCTGCCAACGATGATCATTTTTAAGCGGCTGACTATAGAAATAATTTCATATATCTTTTCCCATTTATATGATTTGCATTATTCTATTTAAAGCCTAGTGGGCTGCAGTATTTCTTCTCGTAATTACGCAAATGCGCATCAAGATCTCTCTTTGTCTGGCCTCTTATTATGTGTTTCAGCGTAATTTCGTTGTGCAAATGCATTTATCATGCTCAGAAAAATATGGAGATTATTTTAACCTGAAGAAATGTTGCGTTTTTTTTTCTGCGGGGGTTCAGCGGGGGTCCGCGTCAGCGGCCTCACCCCGAGGCGCTCCTGGGCGGCAGGGATGCAGAAGCAAACCCCCGCCTACTCATTGGCCAGCGGTTTATAGTACGGTGCGGCGCATGTAATTACAAAATTGATTTTTCTTCATAAATTTGAGCATGCGGCTCTTAATCAGGTGCCGTCTGTAGCCCGGAATTTACGGTAGTTAATTAATTTGAAGTCCTATGTCATTTACGGGCCTGCTAATACAAGCCGATTTTCATACGTCACCATCGTGGAGCTACAGGACTCCCGCAGACGATTCATCAGACATCCCTCGATTTATGCTAGCGGTGAAAGCTCCTCGGGACTCAATTCTTGCACATCAATGCGTATTTAAGACGATCGAGATGCTCCTTAATATGGCAATGTGAGAAATATTTCTGGGTTGCAATTCAATGTTTCGAGGAGCGAGGAGCAAGGAACGCTGCAATTAAGTGACATGAGACAATGGCCTCTTTTTGCCCTCAAACTGATAAAATTGTATACCACCGTTTATCCTGTTCGAGGCCATAAGAAACTTAAAATGGAGTTTAAATATCTTTATACACGGTCACACAAGGTCATTTTCATTCAGTATTGTTATATAGTTCAAGAATGATGGGTGCCATGACGACTGCTATTGGTTGGCAGATCAAATAAATATTGGGAGAATAACATGTCATTTAATTTAAGTGAGCCACATAACTGTCATATTGTTTTGTGTAAAATTGTGGTCCTTTCAACTGTAGACTTACTCCGGGGGTCTGCAACCTGATGAAAAGGAGAAAGTCGTTTGGGTCCGTTTTGAGAAGGCTGACATCAATGGTTAGTAAAGAACTTCACTGCATGAACAATTTGCTGCTGTTGCCTGTTTAGAATTCATTTGAGTTCACAAGATAATCAATAATTAACACAGTTATCCTGTAGCACACTTTTTTTAATGTTGCTGAACATATTCTGCTGTGCTTACCTGATCCAGTGGTAGCACGTTGACCTCACGGTGCAGAGGTGCTCGGTTCAATTCCAGCTCCGGCCTCCATGTGTGGGGTTTGCATGTTCTCCCTGGGCCTGCATGGGTTTTCTCCGGTTTTCTCCCACATTCCAAAAACTGCCATACATGTTAATGGAACACTCTAAATTGTCCCGAGGTGTGAGTGTGAGCGCGGACGGTTACACGTCTCTGTGTGCCCTGCGATTGGCTGGCAACCGGTTCAGGGTGTCCCCCGCCTACTGCCCGAAGACAGCTGGGATAGGCTGCAGCACCCCCTGCGATCCTTGTGAGGATAAGCGGATCAGAAAATGGATGGATGAATGGATGTTTTTGGCCTTTTAAAAGTATAGTGGTACCTCTACTTACGAACGTCTCTTCATATGAAATTTTCAAGTTACGAAACGCCTTAACAGGAGAATATTGCCTCTTGTTATGAAAGAAATTTAAAGATACGAAAGGTAAAAATACAGTATGGGCTGCTACTCCGAGCTCCAAGTTTCCTGAACGCAACATACTTAGCTGCTCTGCCACTGGCTATTCACGAACATCATCCTGGCATCCCATTGCTGAAGAGGGACCTCTACTGTGTGGGTCTCTGTGTGTAGATAGATGGATATGTGTCCATGCAGCATCCTCGTCATTCGCCCCTCGGGCCCTGAGGCGTTCCGATAGGTTTATGTAAATGTGAATCACCCAGAAAAAGTGTTTACCAGTCGAGTGATCGCTCACTATGCTGATGTTTGCCTTGGACATTTTCGAAGGATTGTTAAAAGCCGACGAAAGCAAACGTCCTTGGATCAATTCTTTACAAAACGCCGGGCAAAAACCACTTCTGAGAAAGAACATGAACTAAAGAACAAAACTTGGCAAGATGGCGGACAGTGCGCCAGTGTGTTCGGCGCTGCTCCTGCTATTTCGTTTTTTTTTACTACTCGCAATGCTTGTTACCTTCCTAACAGCATCTCGATTGGTTTACGATCGCCAGTTGTTGTTATCGATTCAATAACATGTCGGAGATTCGGCCGCGTTTTAGCAAGACGGTGGTGAAAAGACGCTACCTCCGATTTTGGCTAACGTGCCGGCCCATCTCTTCCACGTTCGGTCGCCCCCTTCATGAAGCGCCGCCGCGGCAAACGTAGCGGTCAGCTTGTGAAGCTAAAATGGGATCCGAGACTCACTAAGATCGCTGCTCGTTCCTGAACGCACGGAATTACTCCGTCGTGGCGTGCCCTCGACCCCGTCGCCTCGTGCTTGATAACAGTCGTTGGCTCTCCCACCGCGCCACGGCATTTCTACCCTCTGCGCCTTTCTCGGCGAGGCGTACAGCGAAAGCTTTTGAGGGAATTCCCCCGGGCTTGGCAATCGGAAGAGGCAATCCCTCCCATTGCCACTCCCACAAGGATCGCGTTGTTAAACGCCCGGTCGTTGACGAACAAGACCCATATTCTGAGGGAGTATTTCCTTTCCAATGACTTGGATTTCCTGTGTCTGACGGAGACTTGGGCAGGTACTGGTGAGTACAATGCGTTACTTGAATTGTTGCCACCTGACTGTGCATTCCTCGATACCCCGAGGACCTCAGGCCGTGGCGGAGGAACGGTGAGTATCTTTAAGAACATTTTCAAATGTAAACGGTGCACATTCACCACATCAACCACCAGCTTTGAAGCAACCTTCTTTGAAGTCGGTCGTGTTTTCCCGGTGCTCTGCGCTGTCATTTACCGTCCTCTTAAATACAACAAAGACTTTTTAAGCGATTTTTCAACCTTTCTTGCGGAAATCAGGCTGAGATAGGGTCATATCCTCCTAATGGGGGATTTTAATATCCATGTGTGCTGTCCCGGAAAAACCACTAGCAAAGGACTTAAGACTTATCGACTCTTTTAATTTTGTGCAATATGTGACCAGCCCGACACATGAGCAAGGACATATTTTAGACTTTGTCCTTGCTTATGACGCCAGTTTTCTCCCACGTTCAAAAAACACGCATGGTGCGAACTCTCTATATTGTGCCTGGATTTGATTTTGAGTGCGAGTAGTTGTTCGTCAATGTGTGCCATGTGACTGGTTGGCAACCAGTTCAGTGTTCCCTTCCTACTGCCCAGAGAAGATTGGAAAAGCTCCAGCACACCTGTGATCTTCGTAAGGATAAGCGTTTTGGATAATGGATGGATGTATAAGGCCGCAAATACATGGATGTATTTACTCCGAAATATTAGGTAGCCTTGTCCAATGTGTCATTGCAATGTCTGTTTCGGTTTGCTTCGTTGATATGGACCAATATCAGACATCTCCTTCATGCTTTCTGTGCAGTCCTCTACCGAATGGCCCACTGACCGGTACCGGTCCACGGCCCGGGGGTTGTTGTACAGTATAGGAATTTGATTTGAACACCATTTTTTTTTTCTCGTAGCAGCATTGTTGGTTTCTGATGTGGACTAATTTACCTAATTTGACAATTTTTGAATGTAGCACATACCCCAATTCAGGTGAGATGAACCTACCTGACTCCTGGTTTTCATGTCTGAGGTAGAGTGGTTCTACTTTGAAGGCTCCAATCATGTCCTGCCTCTTCTTCACCCTGTTAGTCATAATAATAACAATAATAATCATACATTTTATTTGAAAGCGCTTTTCATCATACTCAAGACACTTTACAAGAACTTAAAACACAGGATTAAAATGTACACTTAGAGACAAGCATACATGATTTACAAAAAACACATTTAGATGAACAAAACAAATCAAAAATGGGTAAAAGAAATTAAAAGGTGTTAAAAGCATTGCGGAACAGGTGAGTTTTAAGAGATGATTTGAAGGATTGGAGGTCAGTACAGTTGCGGATATGTTGTGGTAGAGCGTTCCAGAGGGTGGGGGTGGCAACAGAGAAGGCTCGGTCCCCCCACGTTTTGAGCTTGGTCACGGGGATGGCGAGGAGGTTCGTGTTTGAGGAGCAGAGGTTGTGGGAAGGAGTGTATTGGTGAAGAAGGCCAAAAAGGTAGGAGGGGGCCTGATTATGAAGGGCTTTATCGGTGAGTCGGAGGAGTTAAATGAATACGCCGGTGGAACGGGGAGCCAGTGGAGGTTTTTAAGGACGGGGATGATGTGATCACGAGTGCGGGTGTGGGTGAGTAGACGGGCGGCGGCATTCTGGATGTACAGTACTGTAGTTTATTGAGGAGTTTGGAGGTTGTACCATAGAGGATGCTATTGCAGTAGTCAAGGCGGTGATGAAGGCGTGGATGAGGTTTTGAGCGGTGTTGAAAGAAAGTGAAGGGCGGAGACGAGAAATGTTTTTGAGGTGGAAGAAAGCAGTTTTGGTGATTTGGGTGATGTGTCGGTCGAACGTGAGGTTATTATCAAAAAGGACACCGAGGTTGTGACAGTGAGAGGAGGGGACAGGGTGCAGTTGTCCAGCTTCTTCACCTTAGACAGCTGGCCAAAGTAAAACCTCTCCTCTCTCATGAACACTTTGAGACAGTAATTCATGCCTTTGTCACATCCCGGCTCGACTACTGCAATGCCCTTTACTTCCGAGTCAGCCAGTCCTCCATTAAGCGTCTCCAGCTGGTCCAGAATGCCGCTGCTCGCCTCTTGACTGGTACTCGTAAGAGGGAGCACATAACTCCGACTCTGGCATCCCTTCACTGGCTCCCCATACATTTTAGAGTGA